AATAGCTCAGCTCAGTATTTTGACGGTGAAGGACGGAGAAGACGTACGTGGGCGGTGACGAGTGGAGGAGTAGCGGAGGATGTGGAACAGCTCTCATTGATTTACATGACAGACAAGTACTCCGCACGACGTACGTGAGCGGAGCGGAGAGCTGACGGAGTATGTGGTATCTGGGGGTAAAGGAGGACAAATACACGTCCGGCTGGATGCGACACCGGACAGTGCAATGAAACTCCGGACTGTCCGCTCTAAAGCGGGACATCTGGCCACCCTACTTCCAACTCCAGTTCTTTCCCACTCGCCATACCGACACAATCTCCACAACAACTGATTTACATGCTTCGCCTATGAGAAAAAGGAGCAGCGCATAAACCGAACACAACACACGCGAATCGAACCGAGACAGTCGACCCGAACGGTTCGGACGGTTTTCATAAACCGTTCCATCCCTAGTACCTACTATTATCAAAACAATCAATTAAATTTAGCAATCGAATAATCGTTAACTTAAATGGAGGGTGTCTTATATAAACGATTTGCTGGAAGAACAACTAGCTTCAAACAGTTAGGCTAAAAATGCTACAAAAAATATATTCAGTTAAGATGAAAATCTCTGGCCGTTTCTCAATATGTGTACTTGTGCATTCTCATGCGCTTGTGTGTTTGTGAAACGTCATCAGCCTCAGCCCTAGCACTGTTCCAATTCACAAGTGCATCAGAGCAAACTTGTCCGTTCTTGCGATTGACAGCTTTCACTGGAGCGCTTACAGAGCTCAGAGTATTAAGTTATAAGTTCTCTTTTCTGTTGCTGTTGTTCAATAAAAGTACATTTTAAGATTACTTGAGGCGAGAACATTATACTTTTAAGCGTCAATAAATGGCCCATTTATCGATTTGATGCATAATTATACTCGTGAGTACACGCAACATTGAGTAACTATTGACCAAAGCATAATTTGAGATATATTATATAGTTTTCAGGTCAATATGCAGCAACTGGCATGTATCGATGCTCTATTATTACTGCCCTTCTAAAAAACTGGAGTATTTAACATGAGAGGATCGAATCAGTCACTAAATGGGTCTTGTGACTCAGAGTGCTGGTCCAAAGTGGTCTGCTATCTAATTCCTAAACACAGAGGGAGATGGTTTCATTTTGCAACATTGCCAGTTGCTTACGCAGGACTTTAAGCCTTAGAGAAGCGGCTGTTCCAACCATTGCATTTCCGAATTCTCCCGAGTGGTGCCCAACTTTACACGAGTGAATAAAGTGAATGTGATTGGTCATTTATCAAGAGGATTGTTGTGGCGGAAGGTTTGCAAGGATTTTGGTTGTGGCCGGTTTGTTGGAAGCATCTTGCTAACCAGTTAGCAACTTAGTGCTAGTAGGTTCCCAATGGGAAATTACATTGGGACCAAGTAGCACTTACCAACAACACTGTCAAAGAACGCTATGGACAGCGGAAACATGAAAGAGGAAGAGTGTTTTGTGTCGAAGGTCGTGGATGAGTCTCCTCCATCACATATTTTTCTATTTAGAAGAGGAAAGGGGACGAAGTTGATTTGGAAGAGGACCCAAGGGCGGCAGGAGCTTTGTTTGGTGCAGAAGGCTTACAGCTGTACATGTTTGAGCCCTCGCTTCACAACGTTGCCAGTTCTGTTAGCTCTGCGCCTGCTGAAGACACAGACGTCCATCCCCATGAACACTGGGACTCAATGGTAAAGTAAATTATTCTTATTTCAACTGTTGCCTATAATAGCTGCGACATATGAATAAAGATGCTTTGACCGAAAAAATTTGATTGACAGATGACCATTGATATATGACTGGCTGAATTTATTGTTAAAAAACAATCCCAAACTCCATTTTCTTTTCCATGGTTTTCCAAGCGCTGAAAAAAGGAATAAAAAAAACCTTCAACTTTGGGGCTGAGCTGTTATTAGCTTTAAACAGTGTGAGGTCTACCTCCTTTCTAAAATAGAGTGAGGCAACAACTACTGATGTTGTCAAATTAGCCAAAGCATTTTTCTACATAAAACCTACAAACAAAGAAATGAAGATACCAACTTTCTAAAGCATCTAATAGCTCTTATTTACCTCATTGTTTTTAAAGGGAAATCATTGCATCTATTGAGACCTGGAGAAAAAAAACAACAACAAACTTTTGGCTTTGAGATTGTTGGTGTCTGATTATCGTCTTCACCTGTTCTTAACTTTTATAAAACCCACAAAATAACAATATGATTAATTATTTCAGATATCTGGCCATAAGCCAAAAGAACGCTTTAAAGTTATCAAAGGATGTAAATTGTTGCCAAGAGGAGAGCCGTCAGCTGGTCTTTTATGAGCCCATTGCCAGGAAAAAATAAAATAAAAATCAATGCAATAAAGCTATAGGATACCATTTATTTGCATGTGCTCCATAACTCTGCAAAGAGTGACTCATCTGAATTACGCAAGCAGGACAAGAGACAGAGAAAAACAAAAAATGTGCTTGATCCATAAAATATAGATTGATTGTTTCAAAAGTACAAATGGAGAAAAGGAAATCGATTTTTAAAGTTGTATAAATGTTTCAGTAAAACATTTGCTGTGTAGAATTCAAAATAAAGCTTCCAAGAAAATCAAATAATGACACAAACAGAAAATATTAAAGAATTAGCTGGAAAATAAGAACAGCATATGAAAGAGAATGTCAAAGCTTTAAAAAATATAATATAATTTAAACAAAAATGTTCAAGAATCCCAAAGTACTGCAGCTCTCCTGTCTTCTTCCCTCTTCCCAGATTTGCTGGACCTGATATGGGGATACATTAGGTTAGCCCTTAAGGTCCCAGTACGATTGTTAGATGACTAGCTCAACACTGCAGCGGTGCCAGGCAGACATGCTCGGCCCCAGCATCACACAGAACAGCTTCTGTTCACTGAATGCTTCCATTGCAGGAATTGCTGTTTGAGCATTGGCTCAAACTCAAACCATGTGTGTATGTTTCAGGACGTTTAATCATCTTATTTGTGGATTAATAAACACTGTATGAATCAAATATCTGCAGTTATGTCCAATACAGCAGGAGAACATTTTTATACTTAACTCAGAGCAATGTAGTTTATACTCAAGGTGATATTGTATATTTATCTTGCTTTCAATGTGATACAGTAATACGGGGCTTCAGGTAAAAATGCAATCACCCATGACCTTTCTGTGCATCTTGTACTGTAGCACACACAGAGTAAACTCAGGCTTCCTCAGGTTTTCAAAGCATGTCAAGGAGCATTAAAACTACATAAATATGACAGGTATTTTACCAACTGCTGTTAAATGGCAACTGTCACTCAACTGTCATTACAATGAGTGCATAGTAAAGTTACTAAATGTCTTAAAGGGCTGGGGTGAGAAAGTCAGGGTCTTCCTCTTGTTAGACTTAGAAACTTAGACAACTTTTATTGTCATTTTTTATACACAGAGTAGGGGTGGAACGGTTCACAAAATCCACGGTTCGGTTCGATTCACGGTTTCGTGGTCACGGTTTTCGGCTCGGTTCGATTCGGTATATGTTGATTGTTACACTGAAATCCCATAAAAATTTATGAAAGTAATGAAAAAATCCCCTAAAAAATAATGGATTGTAATTATTTTAAATGATCCGCGGAAACCCT